TACTGAAGTGGCACAACATGCGCATGGCCGACTACGCGAAGAAATTGTCCAACGCTCAAAAAGTTGTGAAGCAGAGGAAGGACAAAAGTGCAGAAAAGGGGGGCGATAAGGGTGCCTTGAGGGAAAGGCTTAAGTCGATGGTGAACAAAAAGACCGGGGTTAGAACCGAGACTCGTATGACCTGAATCATATCTACATCGACAATTTGGGCGACACAGTGCTGCAGATCCCCTCACGGAAATGGGCACCCCTGCATCAGTACGACGGAAACCCCACGTCCCGTTCTCGTGGTACTCCTCGGCCCAGCCCGCGGGGACACTGTACGGCCTTGCCGCTTCCGCCTTGAGATCTGAGACGGAAACAACCCAAAGCTGGTCCACACCATCGCGCTCTCGGGAAAGGCCATAGTAGTTTGCGACACCATCATCCTGTCCAAAGAAGGGTAGGATCAACACACGCAGGAGGGGGGAGGAACAGCCAAATCTTTCAAGGTAACTTATCAAAAACAATGCCGAAGATTTGTCAAATCCGATACACACGTGTACCCCACCTACATAACGACGTTGACATTCTACTTTAAATGTTGCTGCGCCCGTGCTAGCCCGGCTCCAAAGTACCCCGACCCACTAGAATCCATTTTTTCTCACGAAAGTTATGTATCGGGAGGACACGATGCCAACCATCTTCGCTTAAAGAAAACAAGAAATCGCAAGCAGCGGTGGGACTTTCCCGTTGGCCACCAAGAGTCCGAGCAACAAAACCACAACGTCGCAGCACAATCACCGCAACACGCACAGCTATCATGTGGCCCGCCGAGGCCCGGATTTTTTGCCAAACATGACCATCGTGCGGACCGGGGCTTCCTCCAAGACAATAGGGCGCGAAAGTCCAATTCCAACANAATCACCGCAACACGCACAGCTATCATGTGGCTCGCCGAGGCCCGAATTTTTTGCCAAACATGACCATTGTGCGGACCGGGGCTTCCTCCAAGACAACAGGGCGCGAAAGTCCAATTCCAACAACTGGACAGAACTATGCACCTGCCATGAACGCGAGATGCGAAAGGTTTTGCTGATGGTACTTGCCTGGCCGCAGGGATCTAATGTGTGTTTTGGGAGGTAAAAAAAAAAATACGCAGAGTATACTATAGTACGTACGATATACACGAAGTACTTCGTGAGTGTGCAATTCGCATTCCAGCTAAACGCATGTACGCGAGGGTGTGTAGAATGAATCAACACACCCCCGGTGCGTAACGGGCAAACAAAGCTTAAAGCTGTTCTCGTCACGGACGCAATTGCAAGTGCACCTGCAAAGCAATCTCGTCAGGGTACTGACCTTGACCATGTTGGCGAGCACTTTCGAAACGGATATTGGCTGCACTCCGGAGGCGTCCTGAGTACCGAACTCTGACCCATGTTCATCCCACCACTTTCGAATTTCGGCACACCAGAACTGCGTGCCGCCGCGCCGAACCTCCGTCCGGCGGTGGTGCAAAAGGAAGAAGAAGACGGGTAGCTTGCAATGCTTATCGCCCTCTCTCGTCGGGCTGTACCCAAAGGGGAAAGATGGGGTTGCTTCTGATCGATAATTCAGGTGGCTCAGTTGTGTGTGATGGGAGTTTAGAGCGTGTGGCCCATGACGGGGCGTGGATGGGTAAAAACGTGTTGGGAAACGTGTTGTAAACGTGTTGTATTCATCGGGGGCGTGCTTGAGCTCGTCATTCCATCACGGCATCAAGT